CCATAACTGTCAAAAATCACCTGCAATAACATACACATTACACCAAAAAAAATTAAACACACATTCACAATAACGTACCACCCCCCATTCACAATAACAGCCCACCACCCAAAAAACAACCTTCTTCGCTACAACATCAATTCTAACTCAACCATAAACTTAACAAATTACCACATTAACATTTGGAAATTAAGAAGCTAAATATCGGCAACCTAAAATTGGTAACAAATACGAAAAATAGCATAATCCGCAAATGAATTTGAACGTACAAAATTGAATATATATGTATGCATGTAGACAAATATAACAGATACATCACAGTTCACTATGAAGCAAAATAACTTCTGCTCCGTATCGGCATGGATTTGATGCAACAAATTGCACAGTCATATGTTGTCACACTGCATAAGTATATGCTAATAAAATTAACAACAACAAGATTAACATGACGACGAAAATTCTCTCACACACACACGCGGTCGGAACATCACCCATACATGCGACCCACAAACCAGCATCAAAACATACATTACGAAAACATCAGTTCCCCCAAATACACCCACCCGAACTGTTCTACTTGATGAAGGGAAGTTACAATAACGCATCCCCACCGACACACCGTCCATACATGCCATCAACAATTCGATATCGAAAATACACTTCACAAGAGAACAAATCCCCTGCAAATACCCCCCCAAAAAATTCGAAACACCCTTATACAAAACGCATAAACGGCAATGCGCGAAACAACAATAATGAAGCATATAAAACAACATAAACAGACAAATAAACATCGTACATACAATACTCCAACAAAACACCCCCAAACACCATCAGAAAATCCATCACAAACATAAAAAAAACAAACAATAACATCACCAAACTTGGATGAACGTCAAAGGGGAAAAAAACTCTAAGAATCAAACCGCAGCAACCAAAAAAAACACCAAGAAACGAACCACCATAGACCCAAAACCAACGTCCTCAGCAAGAACACAATAACTGAAACATCCTACACTTCCATACGAGTCCACACCTTCCACGAAATTCTCTCTTAATAAAAAGGAATGTTACAGTATATCCTTAATAAACAAACACGAGGATAACATCAAAACCAAAAACAAGAAAAGGGCAAAAAGGTAAACATGATATATAATACATTTAATAACAATATTATACCAAAAAAAAAAACAGGACTAAATGGTTTAATAAAAAACATCCAGGACTAATTAGTGTAACATTTACTAAAATAGGATTTATGAGTAATTTTTCCTATAATATAATATAATATTATTTAATTTAATTTAATTTAATTTAATACAAAATTTGAATTTAATATAATAAAATATTATTGAATTTAATTTAATATTATTGAATTTAATTTAATATAATATAATTTAATATAAAATTTTGAATTTAATATAATTTAATTTAATACAATATAATTATTGAATTGAATTTAATATAAATATTATTGAATTTAATTTAATTTAATATAATATTATTTAATTTAATACAAATTTTGAATATAATATAATATAATATTATTTAATTTAATTTAATTTAATTTAATACAAAATTTGAATTTAATATAATAAAATATTATTGAATTTAATTTAATATTATTGAATTTAATTTAATATAATATAATTTAATATAAAATTTTGAATTTAATATAATTTAATTTAATTTAATTTAATACAAAATTTGAATTTAATATAATAAAATATTATTGAATTTAATTTAATATTATTGAATTTAATTTAATATAATATAATTTAATATAAAATTTTGAATTTAATATAATTTAATTTAATTTAATTTAATACAAAATTTGAATTTAATATAATAAAATATTATTGAATTTAATTTAATATTATTGAATTTAATTTAATATAATATAATTTAATATAAAATTTTGAATTTAATATAATTTAATTTAATTTAATTTAATACAAAATTTGAATTTAATATAATAAAATATTATTGAATTTAATTTAATATTATTGAATTTAATTTAATATAATATAATTTAATATAAAATTTTGAATTTAATATAATTTAATTTAATTTAATTTAATACAAAATTTGAATTTAATATAATAAAATATTATTGAATTTAATTTAATATTATTGAATTTAATTTAATATAATATAATTTAATATAAAATTTTGAATTTAATATAATTTAATTTAATTTAATTTAATACAAAATTTGAATTTAATATAATAAAATATTATTGAATTTAATTTAATATTATTGAATTTAATTTAATATAATATAATTTAATATAAAATTTTGAATTTAATATAATTTAATTTAATTTAATTTAATATAATATAATATAATTATTGAATTTAATTTAATATAAATATTATTGAATTTAATTTAATTTAATATAATATAATATAATTATTGAATTTAATTTAATATAAATATTATTGAATTTAATTTAATTTAATATAATATAATATAATTATTGAATTTAATTTAATATAAATATTATTGAATTTAATTTAATTTAATATAATATAATATAATTATTGAATTTAATTTAATATAAATATTATTGAATTTAATTTAATTTAATATAATATAATATAATTATTGAATTTAATTTAATATAAATATTATTGAATTTAATTTAATTTAATATAATATAATATAATTATTGAATTTAATTTAATATAAATATTATTGAATTTAATTTAATTTAATATAATATAATATAATTATTGAATTTAATTTAATATAAATATTATTGAATTTAATTTAATTTAATATAATATTATTTAATTTAATACAAATTTTGAATATAATATAATATAATATTATTTAATTTAATTTAATTTAATATAATATTATTGAATTATTTAATTTAATATAACATAATATTACTATTGCATTTTAAATTTTTCAACATACCCTTGCACTGTTGCACGTCTACTGACTTGCATCTGTTTGTTCTACTCATACCCTTGCACTGTATTTCTTACACTGCCTTGCATCTGTTTGTCCTGCTCACAGGGGAATTCTTATGCTTTTTGAGGGTACGGGACCACTTCCGCGAGGAAGTGGTACATGGAGCTGCCCGACGCAGTATGCCACATCATTGGCGAGGTCGGCTTCGGCGCATTTTGCATGGGGCTCTCACGTCTCATTGCGAGCCGGCCTCAATTAGGCGCTTTAGTAGAGGTGGTGGGATACCACCGATTCCTTCCATTTCTCTACAGCAGGGGCGATAACGATGACTCCCTTTGACTTCTCCATGCTCACCGGCATAGAAGTAGGGGGTTATCTGATTCCTTACAACACTGACATGGGCGAGTGGGAGGCCGCTCGAATCTACTTATTAGGGATTCGCCCACCCATCTCTCAATCAGGGATGGTGCAATTTACCTAGTTTGCTGACCATTTTAGGGGAGAGACACTAACGACCCGCGAGGAGACCGAGTACTACGCCCGGGGGTTTCTTATGTTCTTGTTTGGTACTACTTTGTTTGCCGACCGGGCGAACACCGTCGGGCTCTACCTCTTGAGTGCATTAGTGGACATGTCTCGCGTCCGACTCTACGACTGGGGCGGCGCAGGCTTGGCCACACTGTATGGATACATGAGCTCCTATTCTCGCCGGAGCGGGCATCTGCTAGGAGGCTACTGGAGAGCCTGGGAGGTACATCCTACCCTTCTACTTTACATTATCTGTACACCATTTTACACTGCACAACGCACATTACACCGCACACAATCTATTCTCTGCTTTACATTATCTGTACACTACTTTACACTGTTTATTACACTGCATACCATCTGATTTCTGCTTTATCTGTACATTGCACACACTGCACAATGCATACTGCACCGCATACAATATGTTCGCTGCTTTGTCTGTACACTGCTTTACATCCGATAAACATACTCATTGTTATCCTTTTACCTTCTGTAGCTATGGGTGTACGCCGACTTCCCGAGGCTTGCCCCAGAGCCAGAGGTAGAGATACCTCCCATGGTACCGTATTCACATAGATACGACGGGAGATGCCAGAGGAGGCCCCCAGAGTCATTTTCATTCTTCCGCCGATACTTCGACACCATTGCCGCAGCAGAGGTAACTCAAATCCTACAGTCATTTCGGCTCTACTTCGTATTGCATATACAATGGCAGCTAACAATCTGTATATCCACTTTTTGCAAATCACCTGGCAGCCGTGGGTAGTGATACTTGCCGAGGTTAGAGATCAGTTTGTCGGTGCTCGGGAGGCTTCCCGATTTTGGATCTTACTTGAGGGCCCAGTTTGTCGAGCATGGTTCTTAGGGGAGCGATTTCTATGACAGAGCCTTGGCTTGCCCGAGCCGATAGTCCCGATGCCACCTCCCACGTACATGAGGGTTATCGAGAGGTACACCATGCAGGAGATGACCGACTTCACCAGAGGTTAGGACGCCGACTTCTTCAGGCATGATGACAATTATACTTCCTTCATCCAGACATACCTCATGCCGCCTTTGACCGGCGCTCGCGGGGGTGAGAGAGATGGAGCTGCAGCTGCAGCAAAGAGAGCGGGAGGATCCAGGGTGACTCAGGCCCATGACAGGAGCGGCTCCTCGGCGAGGCGGAGAGTAGGGTGGCCAGAGCTTCCTACTACCATGACCTGCTAGGGACGTTCTGGAGAGACTTATCAGATTTCCATCGAGCCTGCACCAGCTGGTCACGAGCTTGTC